TTCTGAGTCATTTCTCTGTCTACACAGCTTCTATTCTGCTCTCTTATTTAGCTCCTTTCTTGCCTGATTTCTCTCTACATTTTTTTCTGCTGTTTCCCCTAAGTACTATCATAATAATTCCTTCATCTAGTTCGGCTCCATCTAGGTTCTCATCCATCTACTTCTTTCTCATCTTGTTCTTCCTCATCTTGTTCTTTCCCACCTGGCTCTTCCTCATCCTCTTTCTCGTTCTTCTAGTTCTCTAATCTAATTCTTCTCCAATCTAGTTCTCTCTCTACTCTCTGAGATTTACAGTTATATATCCATGCAATAGCAATGCCCTGGGTAAGGCAAGGTCACCAGGCTGGAATTCCCTCAGGGTCAAAAGGAGGGGCAATAAGATTCACACAAAAGAGCAGTAATTGCGGGGTGGTGGTGGTGCATGCCTTTAATCCCAGCACTCAGGAGGCAGAGGCAGGCGGATCTCTGTGAATTCGAGGACAGCCTGGTCTCCAAAGTGAGTTCCAGGAAAGGTACAAAGCTACACAGAAAAACCCTGCCTCGAAAAAAAAACAAATAAACAAACAAAAAAAGGGCAGTAATTTCCAGCCATCATCTGCAACCCAAAAGGGAAGTGACTAATATGGAAATGAATCAACTAAGGGCTAAATTTGGTTAATATCTAAGCAAAGGGGATTTATATGCTCAAACTATATTCTTAGAAGTAGTTAGGTAAAGTGTTAGGAGTCCAACAGTGACAAGTGAAAATAAAACTGCCGGGCTAGAGAGATTGCTCAGAGGTGATTGCTCAGAGGTTAAGAGCACTGGCAGCTCTTCCAGAGGTCTTGAGTTCAATTCCCAGCAACCACATGGAGGTTCATAACCATCTATAATGAGATCTGGTTCCCTCTTCTGGGGTGTAGGAATGTATGCAGACAGAACATTGTATACATAATAGATAAATAAATATTTAAGAAAAAAAGAAAAGAAAATTGCCTTATTTTCTTTTGGTCCCTTATCTGTCCAAGCTGTCTTGGCTACTGCCATTTTCTGGCAGGGCAGGGGAATGCAATCCGTGGCTAGGCAACCTGAGTCACAAATTGATGTACCTGTAAGTAGAAACCCTATAGTTCTGTTAAAAAGTAGATCTAAAACTAGAGATAAGACTTTTGAAAGGAGAAGGTTAAGCTTAATTAGCACATCTGCCAGGCCTTCTCAAACGGATAGTCTGGATTATTAAGTCTATTCTTAGAGAGTCTGTGAAGTAACTCAGATAAGATACTTTTGTCTGTCCCACAATGATGCCGGCTGGATGCTGCTAATGACATTAATTACAGAAAGGCCTGAAATTGGGGATTTTTGACTGTGTCTATTGTTAGCACAGTTGGAGAAAGTTATACAAATACTTTAATTATAGGGGAAATTGTGCCCAGTGAATGATGGAAAAGCTACAATAGCACACAAGAAATTCATAGCAGGAAAGGCCAATATTCAAAAGCGAATATCACCAAGACTCCCTTGAGCCTTGGCTTTATCTTCTGGAAGAGTTCTTAACTCTTCCAGGTACAGCTTTGTCATAATCTGCTGAATTCCTACTTCATATATTTTTTTGTGGCCCATAGCAGTGTGGCCAGAAATCTCTTCTATAGATTTCAGAAGTTCTAAAACTCTTAGCTTTAGGGACAGAAGCTGGCTGTGTGAAAATGTACTAGTACATTCTAGAGATTGTTCCTGATTGTCACAAGGATGTTAGCTGAGATGCAGAGGCTGGTAGGAAATGGCTACTGAGGGAACCAGAGAGAATTTATACTATTATTACACTTCCACATGTGGAGGGCCCCAAAACAGCTTGACCACACACCAGCCATGACAGGCTCAGGGGCCTAGACACAGCTTCTGTGGCAGACTTACGGTCAGGAACACTCAGATCCAGGAAAAGTCTTAAGCTGATACCACCCATGGATCCACCCAGGGATGAGGAAGTAGTTGACATCCCAAACATTCCAACCATTAGATAAGGTGGCCAGATGTCCTTGAGTCTAGCACACACCTTTTTTGTTTTATAGATACCCCCTGGACAATTGTCAGCCAGTCAGGGTCCTGAACCTTGGATACCCCTCACCTCAACCTCTGCTGATAAAAACTCTACCCCACCTGAGCCCTGGGCTCTCTGCTCTCACCTCTGCATTGGACAGAGAGACCAAGCTCAGAGCTTGAAGAGAATAAAGGCTCTTTGCTTTTGTATTTGGGATACAGTCTCTAGGCTCCCCATGGGCATAACACACAGTCTCCCTGTGGAATCTTCACGGTGTGGATTCTACAGGGAACTACAGCTCAAACTTTAGTAGTTGAGATGGACTCAAGTGTTCTCCTCAAGCATCAAGTAGGGACAGAAAATAAAAGGATTTCAAGCTACCAGCAAGGTGCTTACTCCATGGTAGACCTCACGTAGTTACTCAGTTGAATTCCAGAATATGGAGAAAGTTTCCCTTGGGAACCTGGAAAGCTGTTAACTACAACTGTCTGCTCCCAGCTGGAGAGATGGCTCAATGGTTAAGAGCACTTACTGCTCTTCTATAGGTCCCAAGTTCAATTCCCAGCAACCCCATGGTGGCTCACAACTACCTGTAATGAGATCTGGTGCCCTCTTCTGGCCTGCAGGGACACATACAGGCAGAATACTGTATACATAATAAATAAATAAATCTTAATAAAATAAAATTTAAAAAACTGTTCCCTTCATTTTATGAGCAAGTATGCCATAGGACACCCTGAGAGATGGCTCAGTGACAGTGAGCATGTGTCAAGGGAGCCAACAGTGTGAGACCGTGAATGCCCAAGTACAGGATCCTGTCTCAATAGAACTCTAAAGGGAGAGAATGATCGGTACCATGTTCTACCAACTATGTGTCAAAATGTAAAATACTTCTGTTTTGTGTTGGGTTTGTGTGTTCTGAAGTTGTCTTATAAGAAAGAAGTAAGATTTTCAGCCGGGCGGTGGTGGCGCACACTTTTAATCCCAGCACTCAGGAGGCAAAGGCAGGAGGATCTCTGTGAGTTCAAGGCCAGTCTGGTCTCCAAAGCAAGTTCTAGGAAAGGCACAAAGCTACACAGAGAAACCCCGTCTCGAAAAACCAAAAAAAAAAAAAAAAAAAAAAAAAAAAAGAAAAGAAGAAGAAGTAATAAGATTCTCAGAATGTCCATGAACGTCATTGCTTCACTGGGGCTGGCAGCATTAGTTTTCTGATCTCTTCTCAGTACAGGGGCTGTTAGTGTGAATAGTGCGGGGCCCAGGCCTGAAGATGTTGAGCTCATGGAGGCTTCATGAAAGCCATTGCTATCTTTAAGACTGGTAACAGGGCACACTTTCCTCTCTGAGAGGAAGTCATGGAATCTCCTGACTAGAAGCAGAGTTAATGAAGTACTAGGCAGGATTACTCATGTTTTTATAGTTTACCAATTAAGAAACAAATGTTGAAATCCAGATATTGGAATCTGAAAATGCCGGGAAACAAGGGTCAGCAGTTTCGAGGGTCTCGAAGGGCAGGGATGTCTAGCAGGTGCAAGTAAAGACTCAGACACACGAGTTGGTGCAAGCTGACGACTCTTGTCAGATGTGGAGGTGTGCGTCTTCTCCGCCTTCTCCTGATCTGACTCAACCCCAGTCTTTTATTGTAATAATACAAGGAGATGGGGTGAGAAAATTCAACAGGAGATTGGGTTCTTCACAATAGTTTCAAAAGTTCTTTTTGGAAATCAGCTAAGTGTACCCCGTGCCCCTTGATTGTACATAGAAGTTCCCAGGAAGAAAGCCAAGTCACAGCAGCTTATTCTTTTGCAGGTTAATAATTATCAGAACATCTGAGGTTATCACTTCAGAGGCCATCTACTGTGGTTTCTCTGAAAGCACAGAAATACAAGCAATGGTTTAAGATACCAGACTGCCAGCTTCCTCTCAGCCTAAGTCCTTCTTCATCACTCTGTAATTCATCAAGTTGTCTTCTGACTAGTTCTGGACAACTCTTGTCTTCTATCCGTTCTATATGTCACTCCATCTACAGTTTTCTGCCACCAGCCTTCTGGGTTTTTCCCATGACCTGCATAACAGCTTTAACTCCTGCCATTGTCACAATCTCAATATCATTTCTAATTTCATGGAAACCACCACAGGAGAGAGAAAGAAAATCATGAAGAGCAGATAGAGTAGGAGGATCACAAGAACCAGTAACAGTGGGATGGGTGAGAACGTGACATGCATACGCCATAAAGTCTGCCCTCGGGACAAAAGGGTTGTTTTCTCCCTGGCCCACAGAAGGCAGGCTTAGTAGATTATCCAGTGGGGCAAGTCCGGAGGGGTTGATATCCTCATTCTGGAGTACCTCCAGCACAGATTGCACTGGCAACATGTTAGGCTTTTCATATGCCGTCGTGAAGACAGGTAACATCATTCATAAATGGGCTTAAAAGTAGCAGCCCTAGAGGTTCTGGGAGGATTAGGTGCCTGTGAGTAAATAGCCCATCACTTTGTTCACATCAGATTCTACAAAATCTGAGCAAACATTAGTGATATGTTACCTAGGAGGAAATCTAGGCATGGAGATGCTCTGTGAATGGCAGGTTTTGATCTCTACCCAGTGCTCTTCTGTGTCTATAGATATTCCCCCAGAAGATGTGGTCTCAGTCATAGTGTGTGGAAGTATGAAAGATGGTTCATATTCTCTCTCAGTCTGTCTTTCTGGTGTTTTTTGGTTGAGATTCAGGGACTAACCACCTTGGCTCTGAGCAGACACTGCTCTGAGTCCACTGAGATGCAAGTGCATCCTTGCCATTAGAAGGCTGGTCTCTGCTTAGAGTTCTACCAGAGAACACACTCTTGTCTCTACCTTCAGTTTTCTCTGATAGCTGTATGTGGGAAAGGACTGGGAAACAAAAGGCTGTTTGTGAGGACAGACGTCCCTAGCAGAGAGGCCTGTGTGAGTCATAGTCAGAGTGAAGCCATGCCCCCACACAATGTTCTGAGTGCCACAGCTAACCAGTGTCTTCTCATTGTCCTTCAGGTCAACACCATAATGCATCCTCAAGTCCTCATTTCAGGCCTCATACTGCTTCTCCCAGGTAAGTGAGTAGGTGAGCTGGGGGATGCTGAGGAGGCTAGAGCTGGCAGAAGAGATGACAATCCTCAGGCCTTTTTGAGTATGGCTTATGTCGTGAGCAGAGGACCAGGATAAACTGTAGCTCCAAAGAACTTTCTTAACCTGTATGAATTTCAAAACTCATGGCTAAATAAACATGATCCCCAAGAACATGTCAGGCATGAGGTGAGAACACATGCATTCATGTGATGGACAAGTAAGGATGAGTGCACATGCATGCATGTGATGGACAAGTACGAGGTGAGAGCACTTGTATGGATTCTATGACAAGTAAATCTGATTTCATGTACATGCATGTGATGGACAAGTTAAGATTGAGTGCATGTGCATATATGTGATGGACAAGTTAAGAGTGAGTGTGTGTGTATGCATGTGATAGACAAGTATGAGGTGAGAGCACATGAATGGATGCTATGGACAAGTAAAGCTGATTGCATGTACATGCATGTGATGGACAAGTAAGGATGATTGCATGTGCATACATGTTATGGACAAGTAAGGGTGAATGCACATGCATGAATGTTATAGTCAAAGGTTAATAAAAAATTACAAACAGAGCTTTCCATGCATGATGACTACTCAAAGTCAGCCTTCATTACATTTCTTTGTGTATTTTTGCTTTTTAAAACCAAACTTCGGTGATTTATTTGAGAGCTGGGTGGTGGGCCCCCAAAGAACAAAAGAGCTAAAAGAGTAAGAAAAGAACCAAAACAGTATTTGGCAAAATCAAGTACTGAGTGTCCCAGTAAGAAATACACTCATTATAGAACAAGGAATGTGCTTTCTAGATCATGTCCCAAACTCACAGTCTAGGCTGCATATAGGTGATTGGTTAGGGAATCTCATAGTTCATTATTTTGTGCTTTTGTTTGTTTATTTGCTTGTTCCCTGTGCTGGGATCTAACACAGGGTCTAGCATAGGCTAGCCAAGCACTGTGTCATTGAGCTGCATCCTCAGCCCTCGGAGTTCCTTTAAAGGCCACTGTGGAAGCTGTTGGTATTAGAAATTTTATTCCATTATCCCCAAAAGAATTTTATTTAATCATTTCAGTTTTAAAATTGCATCATTATGTTATTGGTTGTGTATTTTTTTCTTTTTTCTTTTTTTTTTCAGGTTTTTTTTTAATTTATTATATATACAGCATGTATGACTGCAGGCCAGAAGAGGGCACCAGATCACATTACAGATGGTTGTGAGCTACCATGTGGTTGTGGGAATTGAACTCAGGACCTCTGGAAGAGCAGTCAGTGCTCTTATCCTGTGAGCCATCTCTCCAGCCCAGTTGTGTATTTTCTATGTGATCTTACTTTACTAGTTAGTAGGTCTTAGTCAAGTTCTGGAATGTCACCAACTTTTAAAAAGGGACCTCTGCTTAGTTTGTGTGTGTGTGTGTGTGTGTGTGTGTGTGTGTGTGTGTCTGTGTCTGTGTCTGTGTCTGTCTGTCTGTCTGTCTGACTGTGTCTGTGTCTTTGTGTCTGTGTGCTTTAAGGGTCAATCATAAAATTCAGAACAAACCTCAGTCCTTCCTGAAGATTGACTTTGAAGTTACTAAGGTTCTGCCTTGAAGCCAACAATGCTTTTCCAAAGCCCTGGCTCTGCTCTTTGATTAGGAGAGGTGGGAAGAGTTAGTGATTTTGTTGTCATAGCACTGTGGGGGAGGAGGAGGGATGGTTTGAGACAGGGTCTCCAAATCCTAGGCCTGCCTTCAACTCAATAGTTAGCTGACGTTGGCCTTGAATTCCTCATCTTCCTCCCTCTACCTCCCAAGTTCTAGGATACAATTGAGTTCTGGGTTTACAAGTGAGTTCTGGGTTTACAAGTGAGTTCTGGGTTTACAAGTGAGTTCTGGGTTTACAAGCATTACTCATGGCCTGGATTTTGAAATAAAAAGTTTTAAATTAAAAAAAAAACAAAACCGAAACATTTGAGCTGGTCTCAGTGGCAAATATTTACTATCCCAGAATTCTGGAATCAGAGGTGGGAGATCTTGATTTTGAGACAGACAAGGTATAAAAAGACCCTGTCTCCAAAGAAAGTCACTCTCTGAAGAACATAAAAGACAAGAAAAGTCTTGTGAATATCATACAACAGACAAGTTGTTTTGTTCACAAATGTACCCATTAAGTAATCACACTAAGGAAGAATATGCTAAGAGGAAACTGTTTACAGTCTTCAAATTCAGATTGTAATACTGGACATTTAATCATGGGATTGGAGAGGTAAGAGGCAGCCAAGCTCTGGGAGTTTGAAGTCTGTTTTATGCAGCAAGTTCCAGGCCAGCCAAGGCTGCAAAGTGAGATCCTGGCTCAGAATCAAATGATAACAACAAACATTAAATTGTCATTCCCTCCAACCCTCCCCCCAACAACACACACACACACACACACACATTCACACCAAAACACCAATGATAAAGAAGGCTAGTGTTGTACCTGTTTCTCAAAACACCCAGAGACCACCAAGCAGCAGGTTTCCGATGCAAGCACATTAAGAGTCCTTTTATTCAGGTTCACCTTGGGCCACCACCAGGCAGATAGAAGGAAATGTGGGGGGCAGCCATGAGCCCAGGTGTAGAGAGTTTTTATAGGGAAAAACCACAAGCCAGGAATTGGCAACTTGGGATTGGGTAGAAGGGATATGGCACAAGGTAAATTTTTGAAACTATTGGTCTAGACTTTGGGCGTGAAACCACATTTAAAACCATTGAGTTAGACTTTTGGCGGAACCACAACCCACTGAACAGGATTATCTGAACTACTCAGCAGGGTTATCTAGATATCTTCAGAACCACATTCCTGAGGTGGTTCATGGAACTGAGTACAGCAGATGGTCTGAGATGGTGACCCTTTCCCTAATGTAGAGCCTGTAAAGTCAAGTCTAGGCCCTCACACTAGGGCTGTAGTTCAGTGTATAGCACTTGCCTCAGTTTTATAATACCCTAAATTAAATTCCAGTTCAATAACCCCTACCGTAATTTTTCTGAAAAGAAATATGAACAAAATTTTAGGAAAATGTTGGGTACTAATTCTCCATTTCTTCCCCCTCTCTTTTTTTTCCATCACAGGTACTCTGGGTTCTTACATAGTAGTGGAAGGTGTGGTGGGTCACCCTGTCACACTGCCATGTACTTACTCAACAAATGGGGGAGTTGCTACCACATGCTGGGGCCTTGGCGAATGTAAGCTGTTTTATTGTGCTAAAACGATTATCTGGACCAATGGATACTATGTGACCTATCAGAGGAGCAACCAATACCAGCTAAAGGGGCTTATTTCAGAAGGAATTGTGTCCTTGACAATAGAGGATGCTGTTCAGAGTAACAGTGGTCCATATTGTTGTATAGTGGCAATCCCTGGATCTTTCCATTTTGTGACCTATTCCTTGAAAGTTAAACCAGGTAAGGTTTCTTTATTTCCTTTGTTTATTTCTTCAAATGAACCTAGTCCTCTGTGTGCTAATATTTTCTGTCTTCCTCTAAGAAGGAAACTGAAGTTTGCTATAAATATGTTTGTGTATAGGTGGAGAGTTCTGCTCCCTATCTGCCCTGCCTTGAGCCTTTGAAATAGGTCTCACATCCTATCACACAATTTGTTGCCTAAAACTGGAAATGTCCCTATAGAAGAAGGTTCCCTAAATACCTGTTCACGTGTCCCCCCGCAGTGTAGTAACAGATGAGCAGCAGAAGCTAGTCCATAAATGACGCTGACACACAATTCCCTCCAATGAGCTTTGTTAGAATGAGGAGGCCCCAAGGCCGAGGTCAGACCTCCAGCTGGTAGGAAGAGCATTAGACATAAACAATACCATCTATGAGGTTCATCCCTTGATGGGGTGTGAAGAGGCTTCCAGGGAAGGAGGGCCTTCTCTTTACAACCTGGAGAGGAGTTTCATTAAGAGCAGAATTGTGTGTGTGTAAGAGAGAGAGAGGGAGAACTAGAGAGAGAGAGAGAGAGAGAGAGAGAGAGAGAGAGAGAGAGAGAGAGAGAAAGAGAAATAGCTGCCATGACTGGAATGGTAGGTCTACAGAGGATCCTCTTCAGAGAGCAGCCTGCAGAATAATCCTCTCAGCATTCCCCCTGAGGAGTCTCAGGCTGGTCCCCAGAGCAAGGAGACAGTCTGACTTGTTGCATCTGTTAGTGGTGGAGGTGTTAGCTGCTAGGTCTCAGGATGAAGACTAACTACGGTGCTTGTTAGCATATCAAAGCAGACACTGGGTGCCATTCTCTCAGCAAGGCCAGTACCTGGCACAACCTGCCCCCTCCATAAATTCTCCAGCCCAGGGACTGGGCTGGGCTGCCCCTCCCCCAGCTGCTCTTCCCTATGTAGCCCAGTCATTTTGGCTAGACAGGCCCCTTTGGGTTCTGACCTCTTGGCCTGCACTCTTGGCTCCTAGCTTTCCCCTCTCCTCACATGGGGAGTTCAGTTTGCTGGTCATGTTCACTCAGGACCCTCTGGATGCCTCTGTCTGTTTTCTCCCTCATATCTACAGTAAATCTTCTCCACCATCTTCCTTTTATTTCTTTATTTCTTTTCTTCATTCAGAAAGTTTCCTATCATGTGATTTAGTCACCATAGCATAAGTGACATAGAGTATCAAACAGCCAGATGTTGATTAGGTCCGTAAATCAGGGCTGCTGTTAGGGCACATAGCAGACAGCCTCTAACTATGTCAGAGCAGCAGGAAGGTAGGGCTTGATCTATTCAGACTGTGGGATCTGGTCTAAGGGTGCAAACCCATGTTCTAACAGAAGTTTATGAAACCCCAAATCTGGGATCATTACATTTTCTTTGTCTTTGTTTCTTTCTCTGTTTCCTCCCTTCCTTCCTTCCTTCCTTCCTTCCTTCCTTCCTTCCTTCCTTTCTTTCTGTTCTGTTTTGGTCTTTTTTTTTTTTTTTTTTTTTTTTTTTTCCAGAATTTCTCTGTATAGTCCTGGCTAGTTCTGTAGACCAGACTGGCCTTGAACTTACAGAGCTCCCCCTGCCTCTGCCTCCAGAGTACTGGAATTAAAGAAGTGTACCACGAGAACCAGATTTTACACCTCCTTGATGTACATATCCTAATTTTTTTTTTTTTGCACTGACTAAAACAATAGGCTCATGAGGACTTCCTGGCTTCTGATGATGTTCCTAATCTCTTTTTTTTTTTTTTTTTTTTTTGGTTTTTCGAGACAGGGTTTCTCTGTGTAGCTTTGTGCCTTTTCCTGGAACTCACTTGGTAGCCCAGGCTGGCCTCGAACTCACAGAGATCCGCCTGGCTCTGCCTCCCGAGTGCTGGGATTAAAGGCGTGCGCCACCACCGCCCGGCTCCTAATCTCTTTTTATTTAAGGGTTCACACAGACAAAGGAAATCAATAATAGATATACTAGAAACAATCTGTCTCTATATTTTTTAATTAAGAACATTCTGTAGTCTTTCAGCTTCTAGATTTTGTTATACATCCATGCATTCATTTATTTTTGTGTTTAATGGATTTTTTTTAAAAAGTACTCTTTTTTTAAAAAGATTTATTTATTTATTATGTATACAGTGTTCTGTTTGCATGTATCCCTGCAGGCCAAAGAGGGAGCCAGATCTCATTACAGATGGTTGTGAGCCACCATATAGGTGCTGGGAAATGAACTCAGGACCTCTGGAGGAACAGCCAGTGTTCTTTACCTCTGAGCCATCTCTCCAGCCACGTTTTTTAAATTAATTTATTTATTTTTCTATTATCAGCTTGATACAGTATAAATTCTTATCCTAATAGTGAAATGTTTCATTGAAGCTTGCCCAGTAATTGAGTAAAACCAAACTTATTATAAGCCACAGTCATCCTAGGGTTGCCTCTGCTATATATATAGCCTCCCTGGTTCTGTGGGTTGCAGTCTAATTGATTGTTCTTTGCTTTATATCTAGATTCCACTTATGAATGAGTACATACCATGTTTGACCTTCTGGGTTTGGGTTACCTCACTCAGGATGATATTTTCTATTTCCATCCATTTGCCTGCAAATTTCATGAGGTCATTGTTTTTCTCTGCTGAGTAGTACTCTATTGTGTGTATGTACCACATTTTCTTAATCCATTCTTCAGTTAATGGGCATGGAGGTTGTTTCCATCTTCTGGCTATTACAAATAGTGCTGCTATGAACAGAGTTCCAGCCACTTTTTAAAAAAAGATTTATTTATTTATTATGTATACATCATGTATGACTACAGACCAGAAGAGGGCACCAGATCTCATTACAAGTGGTTGTGAGCCATCTAGTGGTTGCTGGGAATCGAACTCAGGACCTCTGAAAGACGTCAGTGCTCTTAACCTCTGAGCCATCTCTCCGGCCTCCTCAATTGGATTTTTAAAACTTCATTTATTAATGTGTGGCTGTGTGTGAATGATGTACATGTGGTGGGTTTGCATACCATGATGAATTTGCCAGAGGGCAAACTGCTGGGCTTGGTACTCTCTTTATGATATTATGTGAGTTCTAGGGATGTAAGTCAATGACCAGGTTTGCAAGTCAAGGGCCTCTACCCATTGAATCATTTTTTCTGGATCTCTGTTTATTGATTGACTGATTTCTTGATTTTGATACTGGGCCTTGCTTTGTAAATCAGGCTGACCTGGAACTTCTTGCTCACACCTTAGCCTTCCCAGTGTTGGAATTATAGAAATGTGCCACCATCCCTTGTTAAGGTGAAGTCCATTCTGATGGGACAAGGAGCTGCCTTTCAAAACCATGGCTAAGAGGCAACTCAAGGAATCCTGAAGAAGCTGGTCATAGATTATGAAAGAATGATGTATAAAGACAGCTTTGGGGAAGAGATGTAAGGTCCCTAGTGGCTATCACAGGTGCGAAATTATGTTACTAACTTGGCTGAAGTTGAATGATTCTGACATCCAAGGGTGCCCACTCACATGAGAATAAACCCATGTTCACACAAACACAGACACACACACACACACACACACACACACACACACACACACGATAAATCCCTAAAAAAAATGTAAACTGCCTTGGGGGCTGTGTGTCTAGCATGCTTGAAACCTTGGGTTATGTCCCAGACCTGCAAACACAATAACCTAGTAAGGCCTGTGGTTGTAGCTTGGGAAGGCAGTTGTCCAGCAAACATTGCCACCTAAAACTCTGGGGTTAGAGTCCCAGCACCAGAAGTGGGATAGGCATGTCATTACAGCATAACATTACTAATTTAAGTTCATTAATTGAAGGTTTTATGGAGCTTAGAGATTCGTTAGCAGGTCAGTGCTTACCAAGTCACCCTTAGTCACTGTAGTCCCTAAATGAGCCAGCAACTCTGTTTCCTTCTTTAACAACCAAGTCTATATCTTCTCGTGGTTTAAACACACAGAGCTTCCTCTTCAGGTCCTGGGATCCTCATCAGCTCCTTAGGACTTTCCCATCTACCTGGGAGAAAAATTGCCCCAGGGCAAGAGAAGCAAAACTCCTGAGCTGATGATTCTTTCCTGGGTTTGTTCTCACAGTGTTCTGTTGACTAGATTGTTCACATGCTTGCTTTTCTCCACCTCAGAGATTTATACTCTCCAGGGAGGGTGTGTACTGTGCTCAGGCCTCTGCCCACACATTAGACTGGATCAGCAAACTGACCAGACCAGGTTAGAAACAGACCCCCTGCTGCAGCACAGCCACACCCACTCCTTGCTAAATTGTCAGCAGTGACTTTCACACTGACTGACATGAGTGCTTGCTCCTAAACACCTGTTTTTATGTTCCTGAAACAAAAATCCTTTCATCTGACCCTCTACATAAAAGGGGCTTAAATGCCAGTGAGATGGCTCAGTGGGGAAAGGTGCCCACTGCTAAACCTAATGACCTGAGTTCAATCCCTGGGCCCACATGGTGGAAGGAGAGAATAGACTCTGAAAAGTTATCCCCTGGCATCCACGTCTGTGACATCCCACAAACACACAAATAAATGAATAAATTATTGTATTGAATTTAAGGGGGTGCTCTACTCCCAATACTTCCCTATGCATAGTAGGAACACTGCAGTGTTTTCTTTATGTCACGGTAAACTCACACTATATTAAGAGACTACATTGTATTCAAGGTAAAGAAGAGTTTTCAAAGCAATCATTCCTTGTTGCTGAGGTTTTATTTTGTAGTTAGCACAGTCAAGATCAAAGGAGATTACTTACAGGGAACACATGTGTCTGCTGACACAGACAGCATGAGTCCTGGCTGACTGTGTGATCCCAGCACCACTTTGCCTTAGCTCCTGTCTAGGACTCTGCACACTGAGACCATCAGTAGCTGTTTGGATCCTTACAGCGCTTAGGATCCTGTTGATTTGTGAATTGTAGGTTGAACCTTCCTAATCCAAACATTCCAAGTCTACAGTGCTCCAAAATCTGGAACCTTTTGACGATAGACTTGATATTTCACCTTGAAAACTCAACATCATGAAAGTATCATGTACAGAATTATCCACAGTTTATAAAATTACCTTTTAAGCTATATATGTAAAGTGTAATTATATGAATGCTAGCTACATCAATCCATGTTTATACTTGAGCCTACTCATAAGATATTACCTATATGCTAATATTCCAAATATTTAAGCAAGATTTAAATTCTCAAACTAAGCCCAGCATTTTTGGATAAGGGGTATTCACCTTGTCTGTCTTACATTGGAAGGAACCATAGACAATATCCACTCTCTACCCAATTGTGCAAATCCCATTTAGTTGGGGCTTGTGTGGGATCTGCATGCTAAGATGCAGGGCTGTGTGTTGTGTCCTCTGGGGACTGACTGAAATGAACATGCTGGGCCTGGAAATGTGGGTGAAATCAGTCACCACTGAGAGCAGTGCCAGCCCCTCATAACCTCACAGTCTCACAGCTATGCTTAGACATCTGAGGACCTGACACCTGTCATTTATACAGTGTGTCCTTAGGAACATGGGCTCTGTGCTCAGCTCCATGTGATAAGTGCAGCTGCCTCCTATTGGTCCTGCCCAGTCCTAGTTGGTCAATAACAAAGAACAGAAGTTCAGGAGGAGCCTCTCTGGGGACAGCCTCTCATGGGTGCTACAACAGAAGCACTTGCCTATTCTTGCTTGACTGATGCTTGTTTATTTTGATTTTCAAATCCAGAAATTTCCACAAGTCCTCCAACAAGACCCACAACTACAGCAAGACCAACAACTACAGGAAGACCCACAACTACAGCAAGACCCACAACTGCAGGAAGACCCACAACTACAGCAAGACCCACAACTACAGCAAGACCCACAACTACAGGAAGACCCACAACTACAGGAAGACCTACAACTACAACAAGACCAACAACTACAGCAAGATCCACAACTACAGCAAGACCCACAACTGCAGGAAGACCCACAACTACAGGAAGACCCACAACTACAGCAAGACCCACAACTACAGGAAGACCCACAACTACAGGAAGACCCACAACTACAGCAAGACCAACAACTACAGCAAGACCCACAACTGCAGGAAGACCCACAACTACAGGAAGACCCACAACTACAGCAAGACCCACAACTACAGGAAGACCCACAACTACAGCAAGACCCACAACTACAGGAAGATCCACAACTGCAGGAAGACCCTTGATGTTTTCAACAAGACCCACCCATGTACCCACATCACCCCGAGTCTCCACCTCTCCTCCTCCAACACCAACACACAGGCAGACTCACACAGCAGGTACAACCCATTGGGTTCAGGACCCAGAGTCCTTCTCATGAGAGTTGGTAAGACAGAGACACTGAGTCAAGTCAGAAGCATAATATAGGTGAAGAGTTCTTCACTGAGCCCAAAACAGCTTCACAAAGTCTGTAATTTTCCAGTCATAAGTTACATTCACCTTCTGCTGTGCAAGAGCTTGAACATGGAGGACACCCATCTCTCTATATCAGAGTCCCCAAGGATTCACTATTAGCCAGACTTAGGTGGATCATTGATCTAGCATAGCTGATGAGGATGGTGGGAATCTGGTCCAGCTGGACATGACTATCTGATGAAAAATTAAGGACTGCCTGGGAACTAGGGTCAGGTTAGGGAGACTCTTGACCCTTTACATCCATCCTGAAATTGGGCCATCCAGCTGAGGCCATAGTACAGGGAGGCTATCATTTAGCATTTCATGAGCACCAAGCCAAATGCTATTTGCGTTACGATACAAAATTTAATTCTCAGATAATTATGTCTTATATAACTGTGACCTGTCCCTATTTTATAGTGACAGGAACTGACAGACTCAGAAAGCTCATGGTGGAATTTATGAGGAAAGAAAGTGGCTCAGACTCTGTCCCTGTTAACTTGGGTTAGAAGCTGGTTCTCTGATTCCAGGGTCTCTGCCATGTGCATGGATGTTTGGAGGGTTTATACTGTTTCCACATCCTCACTGGAAAGGCATCCTAACTCCACCCTTTTAAAGAGGCAGTGGATGCCTTATAAAGTTTACTTTAAGGATCTCTCAATTTATTCATGTAGCATGAAAAGTACAATGTAAGTCCTTTATAAGAATGAAAAAAAAAAAACACCCATTGAATTCAAAGGCTTTAGGAAATGATTTAACATGCTCATGCTTTTGAGTGAGGCCATGTTGTTCAAACTTCGTTGAAATTGCCTACAGGTAAAGTTAATATTAGTGGGTAGTAACTTGACTTACAGATTGGGAGAAGTTTGCCATCCTCAAGGCAAGTTAGGGTTCTAATATTCTACATCTAGGAGTGAAAAGATAGCTGTTAGAGGGTTCTCAAAGCTTCCTAAAATCTGTCCAATCCCTTAGAGAGGGCTGGATTCTGACAAGAGAAAAAGCCACAAAAAACAACCTTTTTGTTGTTAGAGTAATCTGATGGGAGGTATTTATTTCCGTGTCCTCTCTTTGGCATTCCAGTACTTTCAAGCAGGAGGACTCTGAAGGACTGAGCTACATGCCAAGTGTGCAGAGGCCTCTAGGTTATAACTGGGATTTTAGAGCACAAGGATTTGTGAGAACAACCCTCTGTTCCAGGCAGCTGCACACACTGAAGAACTGTGAGATCTCTCAGGATTGACAGAATTTTTCAATGCTTAGTATCTGCCTGCTTCAGAGGACAGACTCGTGAACTGTGTTTGGAGAACATGAACAGGTTATTGACTTCATGGAAAACTGAGATGTAGAAGAAGTATTGGTCCATGAGTCCATGTCACTTCTTGGGGGTTGTTTAATATAATCTTATATTTCTATTGTTGATTTCCTAAAGAATTGCAGTTGAGGGTTGACTGTCCAGTCCAGGGAGAAGGCAAACACTCTGGCTACTGTAAAAAGGACACATATCCTCACATCCACCTCAGGTGCTCATCCTAGTTGTCCAAGATACTATTCATGGAATATAGAATGTGAGATTGTAAGAACAGGAGAAAGTGACCCAGGCTAGGGAAGGAATTTAAGCTCATGATGCCTTTTACCAAGAACTGAATTGGGTAACATGTGACCATCTGACATTTGTGTTGTCCTATCATTAGTTCAGAAGGACAGTCACATCCTCTCACATGTTTCAGTGTTAGGACAAAAGAGGACAGTAGTGCAGAACAGGAGGGTGTTGTTCAAATGTAAGGATCAGGTTGTAGTGAGGTAGGAGATCCAGAAAGACCCTGAGGAGCCATGAGAAGCCCAGGTTTAGGTATTCCAGTCTGGCCACAACCAACTTACTCCAAGATCCTCCCTTGTTCTGAAAAGGGAAGCATTTAGAGGACGAAGATGAGTCAGAAAACACAGGAAGTCACTCTTAGTAAAGGAATGGGTGGAGGACAGGAGACCTTGTCTCAATCAGTCATTCAACAAATTACCAACCAATAAGTAAATAAATTTAAGAGAGAAACAGAGACAAAGAGGAAAGAGAGAGGGATTCCATAGGCAGGCTTCAGAGTAAGAGTCATCCCCAGAGTGATTCTGCTACCTTGAGAAGAACTCAGTGATGAAATGGTCTGTCTATTCCATGTTGTTCAGTGAGCTCATCTCCATGGAAAGAAGTGTGGATAATCTGGGGTTGAATAAGGCCTGCAGTTAGGGGGTTAGAGAGAAACCTCCAGGTCCCTCTCCTAGAAGGTCAAATGACCCTTGTCTTGATAAATTGTAATCTTAACTGTGTGTTCGATCCTCCATGTGTTGATATTGACTGTATGTGTCAGAGGAGTTCAGGAGTCTAGAATGTAAAGTGTGAGACAATTCTGAATCCTGATAATGTTGTCCAGAATATTAGGACACAGATCACTTGCTCAGACAGTGCCAATTTTGGATACATTTCTCAGAGGAGTCAGCTGAGGCATAAATGTGTAGGAAGGAGCCATTCCTGCTTAGAGGCTGGAGGAGGCACTGGGGGAGGTGACAGTAAGTTTTGTTTCTATTTCTTTGGTGGGGGGGCCAAACTCCAAAGCTGAAACAGTTCTTGCATTGTTCTCATTCCAGAACCCACTACAATTTATCCACATCAGACAACATCTGAGGTGACAGAAACCCCATCCTACACTCTTGCAGGTAACTAAGTTCTCCTCCCTTATCCCCTTGGAAGGTCCAGATCTTGATGAAGCTGGTGAAGAATAGGCACCCTTTGCAACAATACAGACCTGACATTATAAGTGGTGGCAGGGACAGAGACACAGCTCCATTCTACTGCCCCCCCCCCCCCCCACAGCATCCTCAATTGGTCCCTTCCCCACAAACACCTCCATTCAGGTCAAACTAAGCTGTGGGGCTTCTCTGAAGAAAAGAATGTCAGGGACAGTCAATGTGATGGAGTGTTGAAGATATTTAACTCAGATCCTAAGCACCAGGTCATTACAAAGAGAGATGCTTAGGAAAGGAATAGGGCTCACTGAGGCACACTATTGTCTTCTCCATGCAGACCACTTAGGTTTCTTCACCTGAGTATAAATGTGATGTGGTGGGTCTCAAGTCGGGTCTCTGGAGATTGCTAAGAAATACCTCATCCCTCCTGCTTCTGTTGGTTTTGAATCCTGCTCCAAGATGTAGTGTACAGCAAATATATTTGAATAATGTTCTTCCACAAATAATGTTGTGATGTAGATTCTGAAGGATATTTCTTACATTCAGGAATGGGAGAGAGGGGTTAGAAATACCAGGTTCCACATCATTATTCCTGGAAGGTCTTACTAAGGGCCTAAGTCAAAAAACAGAGCCTAGACTGCAGATCTTGCCTAAACCTAGTCATTGCCTTTGGTTCCTTGGAAGAGCTCTCACATTGAATAACATGTAAGCACAGTAATGTGAAAATGAGGAGGACTGTGAGTCATCCAACCTTATTCTGCTGGGCAGGCCAGTTTTAGCAGTAGTTGGGGACTCCCATAGACCTGTAGTGTTCCCACTCATTGTGTGGCACTGTGTGTACATTGCCAGCAGAGGTGTCTGTCATTTGCTAAAATTAGAAATATGGAGTCATCTGATGTCTGCTGCTCCATCTGTAAAATGCAGTGAAGGGGCTCTTTGTCAGGATGTTACAAACCTTATGTATGTCTGACATAGGATTCTGTGTTTCATACATAGACACAGAGAAACAATGAAAACAATAGATTCCTTGTTATAAAATAGACATTTCAAATGTACTTCAAATATATGATGTTCAAAACGTGCTGTCCAGGGTGTCTCCTGCCATATTCAATATTAACTCTCTTTTTTAGCAGATTGGAAGAGCACTTTGACATCCTCAAAGAATAATTACACTGTAAGTATAGTCCTCTCCAATTTATTAGCCATGTTAACTTATATGTCTTCTGGGAAACAATTTGTATTTAAAGATTTTGTCTGTAAAATTAGTTCCCAGACATTTGCATTAAAAATGTAAAGGGGGGCTGGAGAGATGGCTCAATGGTTAAGCCCTTCCCATGAGTTGTTCATCTGTACACAGTGTTTCTCTCTGTGTAGTCCATTCCCTGTGTAAGAACTTCAGCCATGGACTTTTCAAAACACCATGCATGAGCCCATTACTGACTGTTTCACAGGAAGTGGGGAATAAGAATATGCCTGTCAGGTTTCAGATGTCTCTCTTAATTATTTCAAAATTGTCCATTCAAAATCATTATTTAAGGTGGATCTAGTGTCATGTGTTTATAATACCAGCATTTACAAGTCTGTGGCTAGCCTGGGCTACATATCAGATCATGTCTAAAAGGGAGAATTATGTAATAATGGAGTAAAATTCCACAATGTGGAATTTAATTCCCTTCCTTAGTTCTAAGTTGTTTATCCTTCCCTTATTGGCTTGTTCTCTAGCAGCTCATTAGAAAAGAGTCCAGACTCTTTGTTTGTCTCAGTGAACAATAATTTACCAATCTCATTCTATCAAATTAGGCCATGAGGATGAATATACCAGACAATGAAAGGAAAGAATATCCTTCCTGTGGGGTATAGGAAGGAATTACCCAAAGTTACCAGGGAACAGTTCGATCAAAAAGAGAAACAATATCCTTGATTAGGAGAAAATATCATGAGTAATTCTGATGACATGTTCAATTTTCCTTTCAATTTCTCCCACCTCTTCCCACCCCAATTTAGGGTACATCCTTATGAAAAAGAAGTCAGGGTCTCCAAGGTAAGCTGGCATGGATTGTGTTGATTTCTTTTGAACTAACAATTTTTTTAAATTTTTTATTCATTTTACATACCAACCAAAGATCCCCCTCCAATCCCTCCTCCTGCTCTGCCCCCCCACCCCTACCTTCTCCCCTTCCCACCCCTCATTCCCTCCTCCAAAAGGGTAAGTAATCCCAGGGGGGTGGGGAGGAACAGCTAAGCTTGGTACATTCAGTTGAGGCAGGATCAAGCCCCTCCCCAGGGCATCAAGGGTGAGCAAAGTGTCCAACTGTAGGTAATGGGATCCAGAAAGGCAGCTCATGCACTGGGGATAGATCCCAATCACACTGCCAGAGGCCCCTCAAACAGACCCAGCTACACATCTCTCTCCCCCATGCAGAGGGTCTAGTCTGGTCCCATGTAGGTTCCACAGCTGTCAGTCTAATGTTGGTGAGTTCTTATGAGCTTGTGAACTAACAATCTTTAGAAATTCTCTCTATGTTCTCTTTTGCTACTTACTCATTCTTTACTATTTGATTCATTGATTGTTTGGGTGATTTGAGGCATGGTCTTATTATGTGGTTCAGACTGTCCTGGAACTCACAACACTCTTGCCTCAGACTCTTTTGTGCTGGGATTACAGTGTGTTCCACAATGCTTGGCCTCCGTTCTGTAAATTGGATCCCAATATAAAGGTTAATGAGTCCCTTTCTTGTTGCCCTCATTTCTCAGAGATATATTTTGCATTCTGTATTTTCCCCATTTACGGTAGGACAGGAACAGAAGGCCCTTGATCTTCATCTCTTATAAGTAGTCACTGAGGTGTTAGTTTTGCTTCCTGGAGCTGGTGTTGAAGGAGTTGAGTCTCTATGAGTACAAGCCAGTAGGGTCTATGTAGTAAGTAACAATACAGCCAGGGCAACATAGTGAAACACTGACAAAAACCAAATGAATGAATGAATGAACAAATGAATGAATGAATGAATAAAATATAAACAAATAAATCGAAAGCAATAAAGAAAGCCACACAACCAAAGTAACCACTACATGACACACTCTGGGCATTCTCTCATGACTTTCTCTGTCAGTTATATCACACTGACTCAGGAGTGTCCTGACCCTCCACTGTTTCCCTACATGTGTGACTGTCCCAGGCAGAGTGGAGCTGGATCTCTCTTGTTCTGTGTAATTCTCAGCACAGGCATGTTCCTTATGTGGCCAACTGGAGACGCTCATTTTGGTTCTGCATTTCAGTAGTAGAAATGGCCGCTGTGTACAAATGACAAAACTCCATTGTGTCAAAACATCACCCCTGAGTTCCTCTGTTTTCTTTCCTGGTTTGCCCCTCCATGAGTTCTAGAAGCTCAAATGTCAGTCCACTGTGCCTGCCCTGATGAACATGGGCACAGGATGAGCTCTGCAAGTAAAGCCCCTCCCACAGCTGTTGGATTGGGCCAGCTGCAAACATCTGCAGTGCTCTCCCCAAATTCCTTTCAGTCCAGTGTCTGATTTTTCTGTGCTTGTGATGTCTGTGAATGTGTGTCATACACGTAGTCTTTGAAATTGTGCCACAGACCACCAGCTCCAGTGTAAAGGCACTGCTTTGTTGTTTAAATGTTTTTCTACTCCATGTTTAATGTTTTAGAGAATTTAGATTCTGTGCAGGTTTCAAGACCCTTTTTTTTTTCACTAAAGAAAACTTTGTATTATTGTGTGCACGATGTGCATGTGTGTGCATGCATGTGTGCATGCCTGTGTGTGTGTGTGTGTGTGTGTGTGTGTGTGTGTGTGTGTGTGCAGGTTCCACGGCACCTGTGGAGGTCAGAGGACAGCACTGTGGAGCTGACTCTTTCCTTCTGCCTTTCCAAGGGCTCCAGGGATGTCTCTCAGGTCACAGGCTCTCCTAACCCTTTCTAAAGTGTCACAGTGCAAAGTAAATACACAAGTCATCCATTTCCTAGTCCAGTTCCAAAATGTACATCCTGATATGGTACCTTGGTATGATGCCTAGATATCTGTCTCTCTAGGTCTCCCATTTTGTGTTTTGTTGTATTAGTATCTTGAAGAACTCCAATATGAGCTGCTTTTTTAAAAAAAATGATTTTTGCCTGGCGGTGGTGGCACACGCCTTTAATCCCAGCACTCGGGAGGCAGAGGCAGGCTGATCTCTGTGAGTTCGAGGCTAGCCTGGGCTACAGAGTGAGTTCCAGGAAAGGCACAAAAAGCTACACAGAGAAACCCTGTCTTGAAAAACCAATAAATAAATAAATAAATAAATAAATAGATAGATAGTTAGATAGATAGATAAATAAATAAATAAATAAATAATTTTTATTAGTCTGATGTCTATTCAACTTTTCTATGACGTCATAGGAGGGGCCTATGTGGCACTGTTCACTGTTATACTTTTTGTGAATGGGGCTCCTGGAGTCCTGAGCATACATCATAAATGAAAGTTCTGCTCAGACCTGAAAGGTGACCTCTTGTTCTTTCTTCAACATCTCTCTTTGCAGTGGTAGAATTCAGTATCTCTAAGAATGGAGCTTTGCAAAACAAAGCAGATGTGCAGTCCAGAGCTGAAGACAGTGTCTACATAATTGAAGACAGTCCTTAACCTACTGAATGAGTCCCCGTGGCCCTCTACAGGCCTTCTGCCTGAGACTGGAAAGACAGCAACCGGATTGGACAGTGCAAACACCCTTTACAGCTCCAGGGCTACTTTCTGTGTCGATTCATCCAGCAGTGGTGGAGAGGTTCACCCTCAGCTGTTTGTACTCAAACTCACTGTTAACATCATCGTAATTCTTATATCAATACTGCCTCAGTTTCTCCAATCACTGCAGTATATTCTATCATACATGAACTTTTTAGTATTTTGTTGTTCCTCTAGTCAACACAGCATCTGTAATAAAGGAAAAAGACTCCTGCCTTGATTATTAAAACTGTTAAGAAAGGAATGGGATTGAAAAGATTTTTTTAAAAAAGTGAGCACAGGTGGGATGGCATCCTAAATTTAGAAGTATTTCACGATCATGTTTTATCTATTTTATTGTAATTTGAAATGTCACTTTCCTTACCCTCCCCAAGGGGTAAAATCATGGGAAAGTGCAGGTTTTAATTTCCCTAATAGATAAATAGAAGGAACTCTGTCACCATTAGAGTTGGTTATGCTTTCTCATAGCTCTGGAAATATGATGCATTATTATGTGGTTGATCTTAGGATAAGGATGGGTGTTTTATGTCAGGAGAGGTTGCCATGGTGAGAACGGACCAGGCAGACATCAGGGAAGAAAATAATGGACCAAGGACTGAGTTCATTAGTGCTGATTCCACTGCAGTCTGACTTGGTGCTCAGTGTCCTGTCCTCACCCACTGGACTCTGAATTAGGTGCTGGAAGGAGACAATGCAGAAATGAAGGGGAAAGGGGGAACAGGACCCAGGCTCTCTGCCTGAGAGAAGTCCTGTGTCAGGAGTGAGAGTGTTTGGGACTATCACTGGTTTCATTCAGAGTTCTAAATTTCTATAAATTTATAGTTGTCTTCAGATTTAAATTTTTTTCAGAAAAACAAAGCAGTTTTCATAGTGGATCAGTTTGTCACAATCAAGGAAATATTTGGTTTTGCTAAAGTTAACAAAGGCTGCTGTGTTGTTATATTGGTATATTTTTTACCAGTCTGTTGAGAAGAGCAGATTTTCAAGAGGGTATTAATTTCTATTTCAGTGTGAGTAATCCCTGACTCCAGTTAGAGACACTCAGCCCATAGGAGAGAACCCATATACATGGGTTCCAGTACTAACTGTCAGTGGTAACAATAGGGTAACCTCCATGTCTGTTTGCTGTTATCATGTCCACACTTACCTTGGTGGACAGTGGTCATTGCAATGAGAGGGGACTGGTGAGAAGTCTTTGAGCAGTGGACAACATTCCAGAATGCATATCCCAACCCTAGCAGATGTAGTAGTAATAGCCAATGTCCACTTAGAGCTGAGTCAGTGATTTTCATATTGTACCCACAAACATATTTTGCATGCTGTCTGATATGTCTTTAAAATAACCATGTTTCCCTTTAATATAGCTGGTGTTTGTATTTTTGTTATATGATAGAAAAATATTATCAGTTGAGAGGACTGATAGAAAGATCCAACATGAATTTTGTTGATATTCCCACAGAGAAATCAGTCTTGTTGATTTTACTGAATTTCCTTGTTTTGTTTTTGTTTTTGTTTTTGTTTTTCGAGAAAGTGTTTCTCTATGCAGCTTTGGAGCCTGTCCTGGAACTTGCTCTATAGACCAGACTTGCCTCAAACACACAGATGTGCCTGCCTCTGCCTCCCAAGTGCTAGGATTAAAGGCATGTGCCACCACCACTCAGCCTTGAATTTTCTTTTCTTTTTCTTTTTTCTTTTCTTTTTTTTTTGGGGGGGGGTTCAAGACAGGGTTTCTCTGTGTAGCTTTGTACCCTTCCTGGAACTCACTCTGTAGCCCAGGCTGGCCTCGAACTCACAGAGATCCACCTGCCTCTGCTTCTCAAATGTTGGGATTAAAGGCATGCAACACCACCGCCCGGCTTGAATTTTCTTTTAATCTTGAACTTTGAAGGTAATATTGATTCTGTTACCCATAATCTTCTGTAAAACAACTCATTACAATACTTAACAATTATACTATTTTTTATTTTTTAATTTTTAGAATAGGGTCTCACTGTGTAGCCCCCACTTGGCTGGAATCCCTATCTATATAGACCAGGCTGGCCTTGATCTCACAGAGATCCTTTTGCCTCTGCATCGCAAGAGCTGGGACTAAAAGTGTGTGACACCTTCGTGCAAATCTTGACTACACATTTAAACTTTGTGAAACTTCACACATCTTATGAAGCAACAGAACCAGTCCTTCTCTGAGAGCTGTGTAATAAATTGGACAGTAATAAAAATGGGATATTGAGTAGTTGTCTGACTTCAGCTGTGTGCACTTTCACTAATAAAAACTGTTGTTTCTTCACTTCAAAAACTGGCTTGTCATTTTTTTTTTCAAGTACACTAGTTCATTTTGACCAGACATCTCCACCTTACTATGTATAGGACCATAGGACATTCGAAATTTGGTTAATATTTACCACAATTTAAGCAGGTGCCAAGTGCCCTTCTCAGGGCTGGGGCTAAGGTCCATTTCTGAAGTCTAGTTCCTGAGAAGTTGCAGGACAGGAGGGAATAGATGGAATAGGACATCAATTCTGGTTCATTGATCTGCTGATTCATTCCGAGAAGACAATGTCTTGACAGCACTTGGCTTCCCAATCATGACATTTGGGACCAGGAAACTGGCATGAGGGATGAGCAGAGACCTTAGAATCTAGTCCCCCGGTCTGGGAACCAATCACAGCCTGTAGTTGTGGCTGCTAGAACTGTCTGCTGAGTGACTGCGCTGCAGGGAATCTCTGTGTCAGAGGGAACAGCTTTAGCCCAGTCTCAGGACCGTCCCTAGGACTAAAGATTCTATCTACCATCAAGGGAGGTAGGAGGGTGGAAAGGAGTGAGACTGGAGCAGTGGGCAGAGAGTCTCACTGGGCTGGATGACAAGGGACCTAGGAGCACATCTGTTTGACAGGAGTCCCACTCTCTGAAAACACAGCACTGTAATATATTAAAGATTTATACCTACTGCCTAGTACACGCTGTGTTTGAATGACAGAATTTGTTTCAGCAGCATGGTTCTAGGGAAGCTAGCTTGTTTTGGGTATGGAGCAGTAGGGGAAAGGAAGGTTGTTTACATAGAATCTTATATTGGAAATTATAATAGGCAGGTGGGAAATCCAAGGAGGGAGACAGGAAAGAGAAAGGTTTTCAGAAAGAAAGGGAATGGAAAGGATAATCTACAGGCTGTGTATGGTGATATTTTATTTGTGCTGAAATGTGATTTTATTTCTGTGATAATAAATAAAGTTGCCTGGGTATCAGAGGTCATAGCCATTAAGCAGAAGTCTGGCAGTGGTAGCACATGCCCTTAATCCCGATCACATGGCAGGCCGAGTCTGTGTGTTCAAGAACACAGCCAGCATGGTAACACACACCCTTAATCCAAGTACGAACCATAGAGACTTCGAGGTCTGTATAGACAGGCAGTGAAGAGAAATTCTTGTGGTTGAGTTTACAGCCAATGAGAAGGCAGAACAGAAAGGCAATAAAAATACAGACAAACAGGCAGAAGGTCTCTTTCTCAGGGGAAGGACGGCAGTGAGTGGTAAGAAGGTGGTCTTAGCTCTTGGCTACTGCTTTCTGATCTCTGCATTTGGATTTTTATTTATTTATTTATTTATTTATTTATTTATTTATTTATTTATTTATTTTGCAATACAATTCAGTTCTACATATCAGTCACGGATTCCCTTGTTCTCCCCCCTCCCATCCCCCTCACCTTCCCCCCAACCCCCCCCCCCCATTCCCATCTCCTCCAGGGCAAAGCCTTCCCCACAGACTGAGGTCAACCTGGTAGACTCAGTCCAGGTAGGTCTAGTCCCCTCCTCCCAGGCCGAGCCAAACAATCCTGCATAGGCCCCAGGTTTCAAACAGCCAACTCATGCAATGAGCACAGGACCTGGTCCCACTACCTGGATGCCTCCCAAACAGATCAAGCCAATCAACTGTCTCACCCATTCGGAGGGCCTGATCCAGTGGGGACCCCTCAGCCATTGGTTCATAGTTCATGTGTTTCCATTCATTTGGCTATTTGTCCCTGTGCTTTATCCAACCTTGGTCTCAACAATTCTCGCTCATATAAACCCTCCTCATTCTCGCTAATTGGACTCCCAGAGATCCACCCAGGGCCTAGTCATGGATCTCTGCATCCAGATCCCTCAGTAGTTGGATGAGGTTTCTAGCACAATTAGGGTGTTTGGCCATCCCATCACCAGAGTAGGTCAGTTCGGGCTGTCTCTCGACCATTGCCAGCAGTCTGTTGTGTGGGTATCTTTGTGGATTTCTGTGGGCCTCTCTAGCATTACAGCAAGCCAACAGCCAACATCAAATTAAATGGAGAGAAACTCAAAGCAATTCCACTAAAATCAGGAACGAGGCAAGGCTGTCCGCTCTCCCCATACTTATTCAATATGGTACTTGAAGTTCTAGCCAGAGCAATAAGACAACATAAGGAGATTAAGGGGATACAAATTGGAAAGGAAGAAGTCAAGCTTTCCCTATTTGCAGATGACATGATAGTATACTTGAGCGACCCCAAAGATTCCACCAAGGAACTGATACAGCTTATAAACACCTTCAGCAACATAGCAGGATACAAGATCAACTCAAAAAAATCAGTAGCCCTCCTATATACAATGGACAAAGAAGCGGAGAAGGAAATCAGAGATACATCACCCTTTACTATAGCCACAAATGACATAAAATACCTTGGGGTAACACTAACCAAGCAAGTGAAGGACCTATATGACAAGAACTTTAAGTCCCTGCATTAGGATTTTAACTCTGCATTTGGCTCTGTGTTTCTTATTTAATAAGACCAATTACAATTATATCTACAGCTATGTGGTTATCTGAGCCTAAGAAGGAACCTTAAGAAGAGACATGGGATAGGAAACTTGGCCCTATCTATTTTGTGTTCAGTAGGAGCTGAGACCAAACTTCCTGCTATGTGGTGGTAACAGTATGGTGTTGGGGGATGTCTTTCTGTACACTGTGAATATCTGTTGTTCCCATTGGTTAATAATTAAACTGCTTTGGCCTATGGCAAGGCAGCTTAGAGGCAGGTGGGAAATCCAAGGAGGGAGACAGGAAAGAGAAAGGCAGAGTCCAGGGGAAACCAGCCTGCTGCCCAAGGAGCAACATGCCAGCAGACTGGTAAACACATGGCAAAACATAGATTAATAGTTTAATTAAAGATTCAAGAGCTAGCTAGCAAGAGGCCTGCTGTAGGACATACAGTTTGTAAATAATATTAAGCCTCTGAATGATTATTTTATAAGTGCTAGAAGGACCACGGGGCGGGGGTGGGGGGTGGGGTGGGACACTGAAGGAACTCTGGACTGGAGAAAACTTACTGTACTAGTCGGTCTTGAGCTACACATGCAGATTCCCGCCTCCATACACAGAGTTGTCTCCAAGCTGTGCAACACACTGCATGGTGGAATTAACTTTTGCTAGTACAGAGGGAAAAAAAGTTTCTGGTCTACGTGCTGCTGCATGGAGGGATAAACCCACTGCTTCCCAGAGTCAGCGGTAAACATACCTCTGCCATGTTGGAAAGCTGAGGGACGCAAAGTCAACAGCTGAAGTCACCACACAGTTTAACAGCTAAAAATCTCTCCTAATCAGAGAAGGATTATAGATTCACGATAAGACAGATTCATATGGAATAAAACTCTAAATGGTTTACATTTGTGTAAAAATGTACATAGGCTTGGAAGAGAACAGGATAAACAGTTATATAAAGAAATAGATAATTTTAAAAAATAAAGTCTTTAAAGAGACAGTAAAGTAAAATAAAAATAAACTATTTAAAGATGGAAATCACACAGAGTCTGGATTATATTGTCTTTGGGAATTTTATCGCAGAAAGACATTTGAGTGTGGTGGTATTTTACTTGTACTGAAATGTGATTTTAATTGTATGTTAATAAATAAAGTTGCCTGGGGGTCAGAGCTATTAGAGCCATAGCAAGTGCGTGGTGGCGGTGGCGCACGCCTTTAAGGACCTGGAGGGCGGTACATACAGGCAGTGACGAGGCAGTCACATGTTTGGGTTTACAACTAATGAGAAGGCAGAACAGAAAGACTATAAAGACAGACACACAGGAAGTAGGTCCTTTTTCGGAGAGCTCTCTTGGCTGAAGAGGATCCCTGAATCAGGAAGGGTGAGGCTCTTAGCTCTGACCTCTTGGCTTTCTTCTCTGAATTGGCTCTGTGTTTCTTATTTAATAAGACCGTTGGTTACATCTACATTTGAGTGTAAAGGCTGCTGAGTTAAATTATATTTATATATATTATATATTATCATATATATAAACCTATGTATTAACTATATATAACTATATATATAGTTAGACCTATATATATAATATATATTATATATATATTTAAAGGTATTTTGACTTCAAAATTCATCTAAAGGATATGTTGCTTTGAAAAAGAGGTTCTGCTTCTGTTTCCACAGAAGATGAGAACCTGTGGATCGCTCCCAGACTAACTGCCATGACAGAGTTAAGAGGCCCAGACAGCTTCTGTGACAGGTTTACTGGCAGGCAATACCTGGATCCAGGAAAAGCCATCAACTGACCCCACCCAGGGATGGGCCAGCATCTAAGTAACTGACATCCCATACATTCCAACCATTAAATAAGATCCTCAGATGTCCCTCAGCCTAACACACACCTATTTTCCTTTTACAGATACTTCTAGACAAAGGTCAGCCAATCAGGGGCCTGGGCCCTAGAAATTCCCTTACCCCAACCTCTGCTGTAATAAAATGCTACCCTGCCTGGGCTCAGTCAGAGATTTCTGCTCACACCTCTGTATCGAACAGACAAAGAGTCCAAACTCCAAGTGTGAAAAAAAAAAAGGCTCTTTGCTTTGGCATATGGCATTTGGTCTCTGTGGTGGTCTTTTGAAGGTGCCAGCAATCTGGGTATAACAATTTTCTGTCTCCGTCTATACTTGACCTTGTAACTTTCTCAGCCTCAAGCCCTACTCAGCTACCCTAGTTGACTCATTGGCTGGCTCTGACAGCACAGCATGGTTTTTGTACTTCAAAACATCCTGCAAAAGGCTCCGTGCTACCCTGGGATCCCGAGTACCCAGTGTAGTCACAGACCAGCTAATAAAGGCTTTCTATCGGCTTAAGCCCATGTCTTAGCAGTGTTCTCTAGTGAACACCCACAACACTGTCTTGCACAACTACCCAACTCTGGAGGCCTGCATAGGCCAGGTAGTACACTGGAAAGGGGCATCAGGACATGGAGAAGCTCAGCTTTGGAAGTT